CCCCCCCCCCCCCCTTTTTTTCTCTTCCCCTTTCTTTTTGTTTCCAGCTCCCCCCCCCCCCACTCTCTCTCTCTCTTTCTCTCTCCACCTCTCCCCCTCTCACCGTCGACGTTTTGGCTGATCACCGCGTGCACGAAGCCCTCGTTCACTAGCCCCACCAGCGCCATGTGCCCGAGGGTGGGCATGGCGTTGTCCCAGCACTTCTCGTAGTCCGGTAAAGGCTGCCCTTGGTTCTCCAAGGTCCAGACCCCGTCTTTACCCCTGAAGTCCGGGATGCCTTGTTCGCCATGCGGGCCAAAGGGACATTGTCGCGCTCGTTCGTGAAACAAGAAAAAAGAAACAGGTGCCTTGAGCCATGGTAGTGCTAATAGGGTTCTTTCACACGCCTAACAAGTCTCGCCATAACGGTAGCCTTCGTGAGGATTTTTATCTTGGTTTTAGTATGGGGTACGGGGTGGGGTTGGGGGTTAGGGGTAGGGATAGGGATACGAAACCCCCCTCTCTTGTGCATAGACCAAGAATAAAATCCTCGAGAAGGCAGTCCGGGTGCAATTGATGGGTGCGAGCGATACGATGTGCCGCCAGTACATGTGGAGACAGGGCGAACACCACGACAATGCAGCAGCAGCTGCTGCTGCAAAAACTGTTGTCGTGGTGCGTTATCTTGTCATATGGTGCCTGCTAAGGCCGGCATCCTTAGATGCGCTCCTGCCAAGGGTTCCAAAACCTCCCTTCCAACCCCCGTCTCGTCCCTTGCGAAGACGAAGATAGATTTACGATACCCCTGTGTCGGGTGCAACGGCCACCTGGACGATGAAACCATTAGCAAATGACGGGAATCTATAGGATAGTGATCTCCGGAAGTACGCTGCGGGAGAGTTCTGCCCGCTGCCTCGAGTCCATAGTAATGTGCACTTTGACGAATCTTCGGTGCGAAGACTAAAGCAAGCGCCGCGGGAGGAAAGGTGGGGTAAAAAAAGACAAAAACCAATCTTCCAAAAAAAGAAAAGCTCCTTACGTGATCGATCCCGGCTGACATGCCGAACATGGATGCCAGAAGGTCTGAAGATAAAGGACGAACACGTTGTTGTTTTTCACCGCACTGAGACTGGTGTCTTTTCATTGGTCAGCCGGTTAGCGCGGTCGACGCTACAATATTAACGGCGAAAAAAAACAGCACGCACACAGCCATCTAGAGAGTAGCGTAGACTCCCTCATGACGCTCGGTCACAGAGTGTACCAGATTGAAACCTTTATAAGCATTTAGTTCTTTCGACCGCACTAATACTGACGTATTTTCGTTGGTCAGCCGGTCAGCGCGGTCGATGCAAATAATAAAATAAACACACACACACATACAAATCTTCTCACCCGCAGCGGTAGACAAGCCTGCCCCGGTGTGAGCCACCGCGATGGGCGCAGCCCTCAGCAGGCTCGCGAGCCTCTTGGCTTCCGCTTGCACCTTCGCGTGCGGCATCTCCGACTCGGCAGCCCCGCATCGTCCCTTGTAGTGGCCTGCCGGAAAAAAATCGGCAGAAGGTAGCCGCGGGGCCTAGGCCCATCATCATGAGATGGACGTTACAAGCCCCCGAGCTCGAAGTAGTGCGAAAGCAAGCAACGCGGTCACAGCAGCACAGGCCAAGTGTACATTTGATGGTGCCAAGTCACGGTGCAGGAACTGCCCAAACAAGGGAGCTTCCAAGGCTATTGTTTGAGCGAAAGAGAAATGAAGAAGACAATGAACGACTTAAACTTCGCAGACACCACCGTTTGAGACGGAAAACACGGACGATCTGGCACACGACGTACGCTTAACTTTTCGTACTCAGAAATAACGCACACAAATGCAATTGAACCGCATCAGCGTATCAAGCTCTCCCTTGACATGGCGTATCCCTCACTCCGACCAAATTCGGCAGTCTGCCACGAACTCCTGCGCTTCGTTGTCTTTTGTCTTTTCAACATAAACAAACTGACGCCAACCTCCATAAGAATACCCTCTTTAGAAAAAAACATACCGTCACTGCAAGACTCCCCGTTCGAGATAATTCCCCATTCTAAGGGCTGTGTTGAAGTCTACACTCTTGTGGGTTGAGGGAGATCGCCCCGCATACTCAATATTCAAATGTACTTCAGTCCATATGCATACATGCAGCCCAACTACACCGCAACTGGACGCGCCTCTTTTCACGGACCTACTCACTCTGCGGCTGCGGGAACTCTCTGCTAAAGTTTGGGCGTTTCGATTCCAGCCGACGTGACTCATGTACTTTCATATTGGTACGTTTTTCCGGACCGCCTTCGCGCGATTAGTAAGTTTATGAGGAAATAGAGCAGGGAGGGGGGACGCAGACCGTATTCCCTAACCCTAGCCCTAACTCAACTTCCCCGATTGGGTGATTTATCCAACATTATCCAACATCAACCAACACGTTCACATCATACGAAAAACCCTCCGAAGGCTACGTGTACTGGTATTTCCCCTGCAGCGTCGGTGCAGCTTGAATGCCTTTTAGCAACTACAGCTGTACTCTCCGAACAACGCGACAATCCATTCGACATTCTTCGCTACTTATCCCTATTAATAGTACTATTGGAGCATACTTCAAAATATTTCTACAACGTTAAGCGTACGATGGACCACCCGTACGGAGCCGCTCGCGACAAACAGTCTAACCCCGTTCGAAGAAGAGATGAAGTATGATCTTTACGGTGTGGCATTGATTTTCTCAGAGAGTGAGGGTTGAGGGAGAATACTGGCCGGCAACGGGACTTCAGCGCGCTCCGTGGAGGAACGTCTTGGTTGGGTAATCCTACGTTGTTCACGTGTGTGTTCTGCCTAAAAGCTTTAAAAACTACGGCCATGGGTCTAATGACGCAATATGCAATAAGTGTACTATATAAGTACTGCTGTAGACAGTCCGGTATGCTACATTGTACCACAGGGGGAGATGCGGACTACATATCTGTGTTCACATTACTGCTGTGCTGTGTACATGGGACACCAACATGCTCACCCTTCTCCAGGCGCTTCGCGTACCCCACGGGATTCCCCTTCGCCGCTCGTGACCTTTTCATGGCGGAATCGATGAATTAATACACTCGAAAAAGTACCCTGAACACCTCACATGATCCTCTCAGGCAACAAGCAACAAGCGTGGATGAAGAGGGTGGGTCGCATGTTGTTCCACCGCTCCTGGGGGCCCAACAAACTGTACCAATATGTATGTTAGCATGTAGAGGGAGGTGCGCCGCGGGGAAGGAGCTGAGCAGCACGGTCTGCAGCAGTCTGCACATTGCTGCACAGCAGCACAGCACAGCGGCTGCTGGCTGTGAGAGGGACAGCTGGCAAGGAGACCGCGGAGAGGGTGATGCTATAGTTGCGATGGATCCCTCATCTCGCCGCAGGACAAGTGTTGATGGGAATCTAAGGGTAAGTAAGAGAGAAGATGGCGGAGTTGTTCCAATAGAGGCGGAGTGTCGATGTGCTCTGCTGTCTCGCTGTCGGTTCTGCTGCTGGAACGCTCACGCCCAACACATCAAGCAGTCGTGGAAAAAAGCCAGCAGCATGCACACTGCTGTGCCGGAAAATGTGCATCTGCAAGGAGTGCAATGGAGTTGGTTGTCAGCAGCAGCTATAGTACGGCTGTGCCTGCAATGATGTTGTATGGGTAGTGCAATAGTTCCAGCGGGTTCGGCTGCTGCTTTGTGCGGGGGAGCTTTTGCGTCGCAACGCCACAACTCCGTTGAGGGATACAGCGCGCTCAAGAAGCAGGAGGGGTTGGAGTGCGTACCTAAAACGACGTGGCGTTTTTACGTAAGCGAATGGCGTCTATTTGCAATAGGTCTGAAAACTCTAAATCTCTAAATCGGCAGTTAGCCAAATCACCCCGCATTTTCTTGTTCACCACTCTGTTGTCACCCATGTTTGCATCCGTCAACATATTTGCACAAGCTGTACCGTTCCCAAAGGTATGCGGTTAGGGGTGGATAGCGGTGGGGTGCACGCATGCCTCAGAGATCAACACGCCAGCAATACTTGGAGCACTGATACACTACCGTGCATGACTACTTGGCTACTGCGCCAAGCGATCCATCCCACGTGCTCTGTGTACCGCGCACTGAAAACTGGTCGACCGTCACTCCTTCTACTGAAGATTTGTACTGCTGTACAGGATTGAAGTGCCATAAACATGTGGTACGATTTACATACACTAAACTGTCGTTACACTCGCTGCTACGGAAGTAACCGATGTGGCTGCTGCTGGTGTTACTTCCTTGCGAAATCGTTATTTACTCTTGTGTGCCCTGGGTCCTTTCATAGCAAAGGCCGTATCGACGAACGGGCTGCAGCGCTGTTGGAAGTGGGTTTACCCTGGGAGAGACTCGCGGAATAGTGATGGGCTCGGAATAGTTATGCTGCATACCTTGGCTTGTAGCACAAACCTACAAACGCTCGACAGGTATCCTTCTATACAAACACCTCTGTGTTGTGTTCCAGGGTACATGGTCCTTGACATCGCGCGAACGGTGTGTTCACTCAAGGAGTCCCCATTTGTTCTTCCCCACCACGACTCCTCCCGCCCAATAAATTGTATCAACGCACAAACCCCCGTCGGGACCCGAGACCGGAGTTCCTCGTCGAGAGAGGGAGAGCACACACCGTTGTGCCGTCTTCAAATCCACCTATACTTCACGACGGGGTTCTGTAGGTGCACATAGCATGGAGCACATCGAGACTACGGCAGTGAGGATACCACAGCTGGAAGTGACATCGTGGGTTTCTTGTCCCCGTAAATCTGTGTCCTGGTGAAAGTCAAGACACCCCAAATTTCATTTTTCGTCCAAACATTGACATCCCTCCGCTGCTCCACATTCACCGTAGCCTTCACAAGGAATTTTGTCTTGGTTTTAGTATGGGGTGCGGGGTGGGGTTGGGGGTTAGGAATATGGATATAAAAACCACCCCCCCCGTCCCTATTTATCCCACCACAAAATAAATTAACTCACAC